GTTCTTAAGTACTTGCTCATCCAAAACAAAACTCTTTCACACTTACACTTTTACAAACAAGTTTTCAAAAACACTTCATTACACTCTGGAGGACAGAAGCAAGAGTTAAATCGAAGATAAAACAAAAACTTTTTCAAACCCACAAACACAAAGAAAACAATTTTGAAAACAATGAGCAAGTACCTAAGAGCCCGTAGATAACTACGGATAGAAAGAGTGCTAATACCTTCCCTTTCTATAATCTACCCCCCATACTCAGAAATATCTCGAAAAAGAAATTTTTCTGTGCTTTTTTCCTTTCCTTGTTGGATAAAATAAAATTCGGTGGCGACTCTTGCTTACCGCGACATTTTGCGAAAACAAACGCAAAACACAAACCAGCATTCCAAAAACAGTCAGTTCTTCCCCCGTATTAGAGTGTATTCGGTGAACCGTCTTGCGAGTCCCTTGTGCTCGCGGGGATCTCGCGGTTTATCATTCCTTCTCTTCTCGCTCATTCATCGAGGAGGGCCTGCGTCCTGGTGTCGCAGGGTGTTGGTCAATCTGCAATTCCCTGGGTCACGAGTTTTGTTGGTCGCTTCCTTCTCCTCGTAGCCCATGTAGGCCCTAAATGTTTTGAGGAGAGCATCGAAAGTCTGAGATGATTTGATGCCGACGACCTTCCTGAACTCTGTGCCCGGGAAGATCCCCCTCTCTCTCTCTCTCTCTCTCTCTCTCTCTCTCTCTCTCTCTCTCTCTCTCTCTCTCTCTCTCTCTCTCTCTCTCTCTCTCTCTCTCGAGCAAATATCTCTTCATGTGATCGGTGCACGAGACCTGAATGGCCTTGCGGTTGAACTGATCAATGTACTCCCTAAGGGTCTCGTCGCTTCTTTGGACGATAGCCTCAAGGGCGGCCTCAATCTTCGGGTGTCAATGATACACTGTAAAGGAGATGATGAACTGACTCTTTAAGTTTCTCTAGGAGGTGATCGACCCTGGGGGAGATTTTGGTACCAGTCCATTGCAGTTTTCCTCAAGGCCGTGCGGAACAACTGGCATTTGATCGGTCCCCCGACATTGTGATAGTGGAGCATTGCCTCGAATCCGTCGATGCGGTCGACATGGTCAGTAATACTGTCATATTCCTTCAGCTGGGGAGGCTTCTCCATTCCCCTAGGAATGAGCGCCTCCATGATTGCTTGTGATAAGGGACCGCGGGGGTCATCTTCGTCGCTCCTATAGGGGGAGTGGAAATGAGACCAATTGTAGTGGCAGTAGTAGTGATGTCCTTAGCCTTGGGGAAGATCCCTTGGTCGATGATAAACTTCTACGTTGCCCCTGTTTCTATTTTCAAGGGATCGTTATTCCCTGTGCGGAGGGGGGGGGGAGGTGAGGCCGCGTCTCCCGGTAGCCTCGTGCATTATCCTCTCAAACGCGGTGCGTCGCCCGGTCCGTTGGGGAGAGAGGCTTCGCGACCTGTCCCGTCTGTGTCTCCGTGGGGGAGATCGAAGACGGTATTTATTTTAACAACAAGGTGGAGTTTCAGGTCTTCTGGGGGCTCGATGAGAGTCCTCGAGAACCCTTAGTCGCTCACCTTATGAGAAGATTAAGTAATTCGTCTGGTTAATGGTCGCGAATAGAGCCCTGGTTGTGGCATCAGCGTCCGCGGGGATTGGGACCTCCTGAAAAACGTTCGGCTCATAGTTATAGGGAAGATGAGTGCCTTCGTATGGTCGAGGCGTGATGATAAAGAGGCGGTCATGCTGTCTCTATAACTTTGCACAAGATCGGCCATGTCGACGTCGTTCCCGTTGTTGTTGCCCATGTTGTCGACGATATTGTTGTTGGGATCAGCGAGATGGGCGTCTAGGTTGTTGTTGGCAGTTGGATTGGCCATGACAATCAAAAGAGTTTGAAGAATTGCTTTAGTCTTGGGTTGTGAAAGACGGGAAAGCTTGTTTCCCACAGACGACGCCACTGATCGTACCTGACCAGAATGGATCGTCAAAGCCTTCAAGTTGTGAGTTGAGCAGCAATTGAAAGTGAGTTGGAGGGGGATACCTGCAAGACACTCCGATGCCAAAATAAGGTTCAGAGTAGTGCGAGTAAGTATGAGAGTGAGTATGAAAGAATGAATACCTGACCCTCTCAATAGAGAGGGTATTTATAGCCCCTAGCGCTAGGCTAAGGTCCCCATCGTTGGGCTGGGCAAGCAGGCCCAACATGGAGACTGTCGGGTTCTACGTGCATAGTGGCGCCAACACGTGGCCCCCAACCTAGACGGACTCTCCCGAATAGTAAGGAGGATATGAATGTGGTCTTTTCGGGACCAAGAGGACTCCGTGATATTCGGGGGTGTGGTGAGTCAACCATACGAGAAAGAGGTTTGCGGTGTCCTTATGTCGTTGTGGGCCCTTCCCGCCAGCTGTGAGGTCGTCCAGGAGGACTTGCCTTGGTCGACGAGAATAATAGAGGATGCTCGCGAGGTCCTCTTGATCGACGACGAGCCTCCTCGCGATTCCTGAACTTATCCCCGTACGACGAAGCCACGTTTTCCCGAAGAGTGAGGTTGCTGCCCGACATAGTTGAGGACAACCCAGTCAGCATGCCTCCTTAAACAACATAGTTAGATTGGACCTCATATGAAGTTGGGCCAAGTGCAAAACAATAATTAAGTAATATTTAAATATATAATATTCCAACATAAAAATAAAATTTACATAGTATGATATTCATATAATTCTTTACACAATTTTAACTTTTTCATACATATTTTAAAATAGAAAAAAAAAGAACAACTATATTTTAAACAAATAACCTAAATAAAAATATTAATAAATAGTTTTTATTATGATGAAAAATTGTAGCTAAGATAATAATATTATTGAAATTGTTATTTAATATATTTTAAAAAAATATCACTTTGATTATTGTATATTTTTTTTGTACAAACACCTTTGAATATTTTATAAATTATTGACTTTTACTTCTCATGGGATGTTTTATATATTTAATCAATAATAAGAAAGTTTAGTCAAAATTAGAACTTATAATAAGAAAGGGAATCATTCTTTAGTGAACAATTCAATACATCAATAGAATAGGATTAAAATAATTTGCATAAGTTATATAAATCAAAATGAAAATAATTCTAGCAAATTAAAAATTACTCTCATTTCTGTTTGGGAATAAAATTGTACTTATTCTAACGAGTCATGATTTTCGTTTGAAGTCTGAACGGAGAGTATCAGCCGTTGGATCTCGCCTTCTGCATCTAACAAGACACGTATTTGACATATTTACCCTTCTCTTCTCCCTAAATTACTAATCATCCGTGTAAACGTTTCCCAAAAATAGCGGTTTTCTGCTATACCCTAGTCCTAGATAGTTGATACTTTCTACAAGCGAACCAGAAGTACCCACGTGTCTCGATGTTAACCTCCTAAACTCTAATAACCGTTGGATCTTGACCACTTATGAACAAACCCACTTTTTAAAAATATTTTGATTCCCATCACTTCCATTTAATGAATAGTTTTCATTCTTTCGTAAAAAACAAAAATTTCGAAAGTGCTTTTTTCTCAGCCAAGGAAGAACAACTATTACAGAAGAAGAAGAAAAAATTACCACGACTTTGTTTCATTTTCGTTCTCGCCGGAACCCTAATTCAATCTGCCGGAACTTGAATCTACCGGTGAGTTCAATTGATTTTTAGTTTAGTTTTTTTTTTTCGATGTTGAAATTACAGTTACGAAGAGTGTTTTTTTATGCGTTTGTGTGAGTAGATGACTGTAGAATTGAGGAATTGGAATTGGTGAGATCAAAAGGGCTGGATTTCATCGCCGGATGGAGGGAGGTAGCGTCTCTAGACTTACTTGTTCTGGTACTCTTCATGTCCAACTTTAGGTTTCTGTTAATTTTTTCGGTATGATTTAGGGTTAAAGATTTTTGTTATTTTCCTTTCAAATTATGAATTTTATTAGTAATTATTACCAAGACAGGCTGATTTACTCAGAAGAATTGTTTAACAGCGGTTTTGATTAGTAATTTAATTTGATTGGTTTGTTTAGTTTCACTGCCGAAGCTTTTGATTTACAACAGCTTTATTTATTTTGATGCGTTGGTTAATCTCTATGAATTTATCAGCAATTATTATTGCTTGTTTGGTATGTTATTATTTTTTTGTGAATGCGCGAATGTCTTGTGCCTAGGTAATTCTTAGTTAGGTTTCTTATTTGAGTCAGAACCCTTCACTTGGTTCCTGATTTTTTTCTTTCTTAAGTATTGGCCGAACTGATCAGTTTTTTAAACCCGCCATTTTGCGGATGAGTGAGGTTAATGAAGATGTCTTCAAATGTTTCTACTTCACTTCACTGAATAAGCTTTTTCAGTTTGACGATTGTTCATGGTTAACCCGTCTGAATGATTTATTAAATCAAAACCACTTCACAGATCACTAGATTTTCAACTGTAGGCATTGTTCTCTTCTGTCCCATCCCGCAAAGTGCATCAGTTGCAGATTAGAATTTTAGATAGATTTACTACCGTCTGGTAACCTTTGTTGTTTTTGATATGGTATTTGGTTTTACTTTTATTAAGCTATGTTATGTAATGTCTACATGTTTGCTGGCAGCCTTGATAATTGGAATTAACTATTAGTTGCTTAAAATTACAAGATTTTTTCCCCTTTGTTAAATTGAGGCAGTGTTTTCCTGTTCTGTATATGGGTGGCGTGTTGTTTTCAAACAAGACAATGTTTTTTTTTTTTTTGTAATATGAACAACTACCTGCCTTTGTGCATCCGATTGTCTATGTGTGTAGGGAGAGCATATGGTGATTTTTTGGATGATGGATGCATATCATATGTCAAAGTGGCATACCTTATGAGTGTTCTGCCTGCTTTTGTATTTGTATCTATGCATGCATTCTTACACATGCATGCATATAGCTATATCAAGTTTTAGCATTATTCTGGTGGTTTATCTTATTCTAACGAAAGTATTTGCTCTAGGGATTCACCCATGGATTATGATGACAGTGATTTTGAAAGCCAGAATCTCCATTTAGCCGGTGAAGGGAACACTAAATTTCCTCCGGTATTAAGACCCTATGCTCTCCCTAAGTTTGATTTTGACGAAAGCCTTCAAGCAAATTTAAGATTTGATAGTTTGGTTGAAACTGAAGTTTTTCTTGGCATTGAAAGTAACGAAGATAACCAGTGGATTGAAGCATTCTCCCGGGGGGGTAGTAGCATAGAGTTCAATTCAACTGCTGCTGGATCTTGCTCTATATCAAGGTATGGTAATGTGTGGTCCGAGGCCACTTCCTCAGAGTCTGTCGAAATGCTCTTGAAATCTGTTGGACAGGGTGAGCATATTCCTAGGCAAACTGTTATTCAGGAATCAGATGCTTGTGATGAACTGGCCTGCTTAGCTAAGCAAATGGACTCCAATCCAAAACCTGATGATAGAAATGAATTTACAGATAATGTTACAGATTTACAATCACCCAGTGGTACTCATTTAAGTTTTTCTGGATCGAAGAAGCCAGTAGGAATTGAACAGTCTCAGACTGGAACTTCCCAAAGTCACGAAGGTGAATTATCCATTGATGGAAGTTCAGGTATTCTGGAACCAAATGATATGTTCCGAAATATTGAATTGCCTATGTCTGAGCATAGTCCAACCTTCTTTACCAATGATAAATTTAACATTACTAATCAAAGAGATGCTCAGACTGTGGCTGATGACTCAGATCTTTGTGAAACTCATGATTCATCAGCACTTGTGGTGGAAACTAATATTACTGAATTGTCTATTCAAAATATGGTGGATGAGAAGCAAAGTCTTCAACTAACTGAAAGTAATAATCAAAATTTAGAATCTTCTATGATGAAGGAAGAAGCTGTTGTAGACACACAGACTCTGGATCAAGATGCAGTTGATGTTGATGCACATCATCCTGATAGATCTATTCTTGCCATACCCCCGCAAGATTCTTTAGAAGGAGGGAGTGTAGTTAAAGGACTTGAGGCTGAGTTAAGTAGTTTAGTGGATTCCATGGGAACTAGAAATGTTGCAGTTTCTGACATGCAGAAAGAAGAAAGGCGCCGTGAAGATATACGTTCCTGCGATTTGACTCGGGCCAATGCAAGTGAAAACTCAGTCTTGCTTAAAGATACGGTGATGGATGATCAGTCTATATCAGATACACACACATCGGCAGAGGATTCAGTTAAAGATGATCCTGTCTCTGCCGGGCAGGCGGTTGATGTAAGCAATTCCAGTTATGAAGTTTGTCCTAATCTCCAGCAAACTATGGATGTCACTGAGAAGGAAACGTACAGTGTGAGCAATGTTCTTAAGGAAAACGAGTCATCAAGCACTGGAGGTGACCACACGGATACGAGAATTTTATCAAGCAAGTCAGAGGGATCTATGTTTCCTGCAAAGGAAAGTATCATTACTGTTAGTGAAGGAAATAATGACAACAGGGTCGGAGATTTTTCCGGTTTCAGTTTGGTGACTTCTTCAACAAACTCTTCCATTGGGAGGGAGTCAACTCAAATATGTGTAAACAATGATCCTGATAAGCAAAGTGACCTAGACAAATTTAGCCAAGATGTTTCTGTCAATGATGAAGAGAATACAAAGATTCGTTCTGATTCTAGCCAAATGCATTCTGATGTTGCGCAATCCTATCTTGGTGATAAAGGAGTTGTTTCATCACCTCTTAGTTTAAGTAGCTTGGAATCTGAATTGACAACTTCCACTGTATCAATCGATGCCAAACCTGTCAATATTTCAGGTATTATTTAATTTGATTTATCTTATTACACTAAATCTAAATGGTACGCTATTTTTGAAACATATATGAAAAAATGTTAAGAACTTCACTAAAATGCAAAAACTGTAGTTGCCTCACTGATGCATCACTTGCTAACTTTCCTGTACAAATTTACCAATAAAGTAGAAATTCTACTTCTGCATTAATTGTGGATCAAACTTGCTGAATACAATTGCTTCAGAAATTAAAGCTGGATCTCTTACAATTAAAGCACCTAATTTTTAGGTTTATTTCATCTTATTTTCAGCTTCACAAGTTATTTCAGAAAATATTAGTTTGATATCCTGTGAGATAATGAATGATCCACCTCCTAGTGAATTTGTTTCAATTCATGGACCCACTGGCGACAACGATATTCACAGGATAACTACTGTTGAATCATCTTCTGCGGAAGTAAAAGAAGAAAATGCAATGAAGATAACAGAGGAAACTGGAATATCGGCTCTTGTTGGGTCTTCTGAAAAACAGGAAACTGCTCCTTACCCTGTTAAGGAAATAGAAAAACTTCATCCTTCTGGTACTTCTGGACATTTGATAAGTCACAGTATGCTTGATGTTGGAACTCATGGTGCTGCAATACTGGGTGAACCGCAAAGAACAATAGATGAGAAGGTTACCCAGGAATGCACAAAAGAGATTAGCGTGCCTCCAGTTCTATGTGAGTCATTAGAGACACAGGGTGCCGGGGTCACGATTTCTGTTATTAATGATGACAAGGATATTTTACAGGAGACTCATGACAAGTCATCTCCGAAAGAGTTAGGTAATCAGTAATCCTTTCTTTGTCCACTTAAAAAATGTGTTTCAAATTATGTTTTTATTAGGTGAAAGAGTATGCAAAACTGTGAATAGACCGTGGACTTTAAACACTCGTATTTAGTTCCTGAAATATTGCTTTTTTGTCGATATATTTTGATAATTATAAATAACAAATGAAATCGAAAAGTGGTAGTTATATATAATATATGCTTAATTGTAACTTTGGCCCCTCTATTTTGTATTTTTTCCGATTTTGGTCCCCCCATTTTAAAAACCACGATTTTGGTCCCCCTTTTGAGTTTTCTGTTGAAAAGTGAACAAAAATAGGGATTAAAATTGTAGAAAAAAGCAAAATAGGGGGACGAAAATTGCACAGAAAACTTAAAAATGGGACTAAAATAGTGGTTTTTAAAATGGGGGGACCAAAATAAAAAAAAAAACAAAATAGAGGAATCAAAGTTGCAATTAAGCCTATAATATAATAATTTAAATAACTACTTTAATATTTAGGGTTAAATATGTTTTTTGTCTCTACAAAATCACGACCTTTCAAGTTTAGTCCCTTGAAAAATTGTTTTCAGTTTTAGCCCCTATTTGCATTTCATCATTTCTAGGGACTACTTTGAGGACTACATTTTTTGTAAAAAGTTTTCAAAATAGGGACTATTTTTAGATATTACAATCTTATATGAAGGATTGAACTTTTAATTAAAATTTAATAAGGATTAAACTTGAAAGCTTGTGATTTTTTATGGACTAAAAACATATTTAAGCCCAATATTAATTTTTTTCATTTGAATTTTATATTAAATGATTATTGGTCTTTAGGGGTTTGATCTTATTTAACTTAATTTTCTTGCTTATTATTTATTACTACATAATATACAAATGATGTTTGTGGTTGTAAGTTTTTAGTTATTTGTCTGTTTATTTTTTTCAGGATTCAAATACCACTTTTTACAAAAATCAATAAATTAATAAAAAAATACCAGGATTAACACACACACACACATACATACAATCACTTTAATGAACAAAAGGTTAGAAGAATTGTGTCACACTGTAAGTACATTAGTGGCTATTAGTATTCGGACAGAAGGACTGATTGATGATATAGTTACCGTTTACAAATAAATAAAAGATTTTAAGAAAGTCACATGTCAATTTGCAAATGGGCTTATGCTTAAGGTGTTACTGTATATTCTTTTTCCAAATTATCAGTAGAAGAAAGAAGTTTATCGCTCTGGTAGGTATGGAGTCCTCTTAAAACCGTTGAAAATCAGGAGGTAATCTCTTTGAATATGGGATTAATAAAACTCCTATGAGCGGAAACCCATAAAGAGGATAGAAAAACAAGCCTATCACAATAGTTCTGGTCATAAATGTCTATGGACTAAAAACTAGTCTATTCCCGTCACTTTTATAAGCACGCCACACCAATCAATGGCTATGAATAACCTTGTCACGATGTGGTTTCGCCTTATGCTGAGTTATTTTGTTTGTAATGTGCATGGCATGTTCTTCCTACTATCAATTCAGATTTTTTTCCAATTGAATTACATGATTAACTTTGTACTTGTAGGTGACATTTTACTTGGGAACAAAGATTCCATATCTTCTCCTTTGCCTGACTCTCGGGTTGAGTTGCCTGAGACTGGAAGCTTTCCTGCCAGTAGTATCTGCAGTCCCTCTAATACATTCAGAAGCCCTTCTCAAACCGAAAAGGAGGAAAATCAAGGTAAGGCTTCTGCTAATACATTCAGAAGCCTTTCTCAAACCCATAAGGAGAATCAAGGTAAGGCTTCTGCTAATCAGAATCCTGCAGAATCTGATTTAAAAAATAGTGGCTCACATAATACATTGTCTACTGCCCAAGTTCAAAAGAGGGATACTGTATCTAAAGATGAGAGAAGCTCAAATCCTGAGATATATGTTCTAGTTGATTTATCCAAAAAGGACACAGCAGATTTGGATACAGATGTTAGCAGGAGACAATCAGCCCTTGTTATCACAACTAACGATGCATCAATAGTAAGTTTCGTTCTAGTTTATCATCCAAGCCGATAAATTGTCTTCCGAATTTCTGAATGGTATTTTATTTATTGCTCATATTTCGTGATTGAATTTTTTCCGGAATTTGCAAGGGGTTTTATTGAATGCTTCATTATGTGAAATGCTTGAATGACATATTTTGTTGTTTTCATTTTGAATAACAAACGATCTTAGAGTTTTCTTTTTACACTTTTTCTTCCTCTGCTTCATTATTGAAGGCCTTGGCAGAATCTCCTTCAACTTATGGGCTAGGGTCTTCAAAATCCAAAACTGTAGCAAATGTTTCCCATGGAAGTCCACAGATATTGGATGGAGAAGTGGCTTTTAGTGCTTCTAAAGCTACGCCTAAGCGCAAAGCTAGGCAATCATCTAATAAGGCAGCTGGAAAGGAATCTGCTAGAAGAGGAAGTCGTGTGAAAAATGCAAGCCCTGCTATACAGTCTGAAAAAAGTGATGTATCAACCAAAGTTTCCCATAGCCCATCTCCTGGTTTCAAGCTGATGCATTCAAATGAGGTGCAACAGTATGGGCACGCAGATTCCAATGGTGCAAAGGCATTTTCTATTGTAAATACTTCAACATCCAGCCTTCCAGATTTGAACACTTCTGCTTCTCCACCTGTTTTGTTTCATCAGCCTTTCACAGATCTGCAACAAGTACAATTGCGTGCGCAGATCTTTGTCTATGGAGCATTGATGTGAGTTCAAATGTTGGCTTTGTTGCATGCTATTTAATCGTAGTGGATACTAATTTTATTTGTGCGTGCTATATAATCGCAGTGGATACTAATTTGAGTTGTGCATGTACTCACAAATCATCAATTATGCATTTCTTCATCTATTTCCACGAGACCTCACCTGACATCTCCCCCCTCCCATGATATGATGGCTAATTGAAAAATTGAAGAATCATTGCTGGTTGTATTTTTTTTTGTTTTTTGTTATAGTTGGTATGTTTAGATCCGTTACTTGTTCAATCACAGTGTTATCCGAGTCCAAGGTGCATGGGAGACATTTAGATCTGCATGATGTAGCTATTGATTTTCTAAATTTTCTAGCATGATAATCAATACTACCAATTAATATTGCTTTTACTTGTTGCAGTCAAGGAACGATACCAGAGGAGGCACATATGATATCAGCTTATGGGGTGACAGGTTAATTTTACTTATTTATTGTTATTACTTATATGCCTTTTGTTTTCATGTTTTTTATTCTTAAAGCAATATATTGAGTTCCTACACATTGTGTTTTTAGACGGTGGAAGGAACATTTGGGAGAATGTTTGGCGTGCCTGCATGGAGAGGCAGCTCAGTCAAAAGTCTCATCCAGTTACCCCAGAAACTCCTCTACAATCAAGATCTGGTATTTTTTTGATTTTTTCCCCATTAAGTTTTTTTTGGGTACTTTGATTATTCAATCTGATTGTTTAACTCTTTATTATTGAGTCTGCAGTTGCTAGAACACCTGATACGACAGTTAAACAAAGTGAACTTCAAGGGAAAGTTATCTCTTCGCCTCTTGGTAGAGCTAGCAGCAAGGCTACTGCATCTATTGCTAACCCCCCCATGCCTCTGTCATCTCCTCTTTGGAGTCTACCAACTCTCTCTTGTGATTCTCTGCAATCTAGTGCTCTTGCAAGAGGTTCTGTTGTGGATTATTCCCAGGCTCTTACTCAGTTGCATCCTTATCAATCTCCACATTCGAGAAATTTTCTGGGGCATAGCACTTCTTGGATATCCCAAGCACCACTTCGTGGACCATGGATTGGTTCTCCAACTCCTGCGCCTGACAACAACACCCATCTTTCTGCATCACCTACCTCAGATACAGTTAAGTTAGGCTCAGTCAAAGGATCTTCTTTGCCTCCTTCCTCAAGCATAACAAATGTTACTCCTGGTCCTCCTGCCTCCAGTGCATGCTTACAAAATATTTTTGTTGGGACTGCTTCTCAGCTTGATGCAAACAATGTGACAGTACCACCTGCTCAGCATTCTTCAGACCCGAAGCCCAAAAAAAGGAAAAAGGCTGCGCCATCGGAGGATCTTGGTCAGAAGCCTTTGCAGTCTCTGACTCCAGCGGTCGGTAGCCGTGCATCTAGCACTGTTGCTGTTGCGACCCCTGTTGGCAATGTGCCCATATCTAGTGTTGAAAAATTAAATGTGTCTGTATCTCCTCTAGCTGATCAACCCAAAAATGATCAGAGTATTGAGAAGAGGATTCTGTCGGATGAATTTCTTATGAAAGTTAAGGAGGCTAGGGTACATGCAGAGGAAGCTTCTGCTGATTCTGCTGCTGCAGTGAGTCATAGCCTAGAGTTGTGGAATCAGTTGGATAAGCATAAAAATTCTGGATTTATGTCAGATATTGAGGCCAAATTAGCTTCTGCAGCAGTGGCAGTTGCAGCTGCTGCAGCTGTTGCGAAGGCAGCAGCTGCCGCTGCTAATGTTGCATCAAATGCTGCATTTCAAGCAAAATTGATGGCTGATGAAGCTTTGATTTCATCTGGCTGTGAAAATTCCAGCCAAAGTAACAAAGTTTTCCTTTCCGGGAGTACTAGTAACTTGGGACAAGCTACGCCTGCTTCCATTTTGAAGGGTGCTAATGGCTCCAATAGCCCTGGTTCTTTCATTGGTGCTGCTAAGGAAGCTATTAGGAGGAGAGTGGAAGCAGCTTCAGCAGCCACCAAAAGAGCTGAAAATATGGATGCCATTTTAAAGGCTGCTGAGCTTGCAGCAGAGGCTGTATCTCAAGCAGGAAAAATCGTAACAATGGGTGATCCTTTGCCATTAATGGAACTGATTGAAGCTGGCCCAGAAGGATGTTGGAAAGCCTCCCGAGATTCTTCTCGGGAAGTTGGATTATTGAAAGAAATGACCAGAGATCTGGTGAACATTGACATTGTCAGAGATGTTCCCGAAACTTCTCATGAACAAAACAGAGACATTTCATCTAGTGGAATTTCATCTTCTATCATGATCAATGAAAATAATTCAAGAGGACAAAAGGCACGCAATGTTTCTGATTTAGTGAAGCCTGTTGACATGGTTCCTGGATCTGAGCCTGAAATACAGGCTCCTTCTCTCACTGTTAGAAATGAATCTGAAAATCTTGAGGAAACTAATTTCAAGGAGGGCTTACTTGTAGAGGTTGTTTTCATTGTCTTTATTCTTTTTTCATGTTGAACCAGTGAAAGTAACGAGATTAATACCAATTGCTTCATTTTTATAGTATCATCTTTGGTGATGATAAGGTTTAATTAATAAAATTTCGCATGTATACTTTACAATTTTGAAAACTAATGTTGCTTTTAAATTAGATTTTAGGCTGACCTTGCCTAGTGAGAAAAGGTTTTGCTGATTGTTGTTGCTTTTAAATTATAATTTTCACAGTAAACTGAAACTATCATATGTATCAGGTCTTCAAAGATGAGGAAGGTTATAAAGCTGCTTGGTTCGAAGCCAATATTTTAAGCTTGAAAGATGGTAAAGCTTATATAAGCTACATTTCGCTTGAAGCTGTTGAAGGTTAGTCAAGTTTATATGTGCTTGTACTTTGATTAGAAGGGAACTATCTTATTGTTTAGCTCGTGTGTGTACATACACTAAGGAGGATTCTTCTAAAGGAGATCTTCGGAATGAAATTTTTTCCCAACTAGATTGCTGATTTTCTGGTATTTTTTTATGGATTTGTTTGTCGTAAGTAATTATTTTATAACTGGGTCTTTAGTGAATTATGGAACAATAAAAAAGTTGAAGGTAAGAATAAAGTTTTAAGTGAATTTCAAACCAAAAACTATAGACCAATAAAGAATAAAACAAAAGTTTTTAGTGAATTTCAAAGCCCATAAAATGGATCTTAAATGTTCATTTTATCTTTCAATGTCTTAAAAGCAATAAAAATAAAGTTAAAGTTAAAGATTAGTTATTGTTGATTTTTGTAAATATATAGTGTTAAGAATATTTGTATGTAGAATAATCCCACATCGATTGAATCATATAATTAGTTGTAATCTTTATATATAATAAAGTCTCTGTAGTGCTTTCAAAACACACGGTTTAACCTAAATATCTCTTAGTCTCTCCTAATTCAACATAGTATCAGAGCCTATCGATCGGACCATGGACCGTCCACTGTTGATATCCACGCACCAAGCCCAAAAAAAAAGAGTGTTGAGTGTGAGGGGGTGTGTTAGGAAGATCCTAAAGTCCCACATTGGTTAGAGATAGAGCATTGAAAGAGTTTATATAGAGTGACACTCCTCACCTTACCAATTGGTTTTGTAAGGTTGAGTTAAGTCAAACTCTAAGATGGTATTTAGAGTCTACTAAGAGGCAATTCTTCGCCGTACTTTACCCGGTTGACCCACCGTCTTTCGGTGACAATATTTTTTTTTTTGCAAACCGTGTTATCCCTCCGGTCTGCCTCTCACTTTCCAAAATTCTCTGGTAACCACTGGACTGCTGCCGCCATCCGCCGCTACTAATTTTGGCGACCTTCCGACAGACTAACCCTACCGGCAAAAGCGTCTCCTTCGATCCGGCCAATCCTGACGATTTTTCCACCGCCGCACTCGCCACCGTGCAATTTTTCCAAATCTGGCTACTCCTCATAACTTTACGCCAAACTACGATGATTTCCTTAAGTGGTATCAGAATTATTAGAACTCAGATTCTACTGTTTCGGTTGTACACACTGGTAATTCATCTTTATGGTCTTAAGCAATCTCCGAGAGCTTGGTTTGGCAGATTCAACACTGTAGTACAACAATTTGGTATGGTCCGTAGTGAAGCTGACCATTCAATCTTTTATCGTCACTCAGTCCAAGGGTGTATTTATCTTATTGTGTATGTAGATGATATTGTCATAACTAGTAGTGATGAACAGGGAATACTTCAGTTGAAACATCTTTCGAATCAATTTCAGGCAAGATCTTAGGTAAACTCGGGTATTTCTTGGGTATTGAGGTAGTCCAATCTAAAGATGGTTTGGTGATTTCTCAGTGGAAATATGCTATGAATATTTTGGAAAAAATAGGTTTGTTGAACGCTAAATCAGCGGATACTCTATGGATCCAAGTGTTAAACTACTATCCAATAAGGGGAAGCCTCTACAGACTCGGGAAGGTATAGGAGATTGGTTGGAAAGTTGAATTATCTCACAGTCACTAGTCCAGACATTTCTTTTGCAGTTAGTGTGGTAAGTCAGTTCTAAAATTCCCCTTGTCATGAACACATGGATCCATAGAGGTTTAGTGTATGAAGATAAAAGACATACTCAGATAGTTGGATACTCTGATGCTGATTGGGCAGGGTCACCAATTGATAGACGATCCACCTCTGAGTATTGTGTACTTGTTGGAGGACCTTATATCCTGGAAAAGTAAGAAACAAAATGTAGTTGCAAGATCAAGTGCCGATGCAGAGTATAGGGTCATGGCAATGGCAACATGTGAACTCATTTGGTTAAAACAGTTGCTCAAAGAACTTCAAATTGAAGAAGCAAGACCAATGACAATTGTATGTGACAATCAAGCTGCATTGCACATTGCTTTAAATCCAGTCTTCCATGAGAGAACCAAACATATTGAGATTGACTGTCACTTTGTCAGAAAGAAGATTGAATCTGGCGACATCGTCACAAGTTTTGTCAACTCTAATGATCAATTGGCAGATGTGTTCACGAAATCTCTGCGAAGTCCCAAAACTAATTATATATGTGGCAAACTTGGTGCATTTGACTTATATGCTCCAGCTTGAGGGGAGGGTTGATATTTGTAAATATATAGTGTTAAGAATATTCGTATGTACACATCGATTATATCATGTAATTAGTTGTAATCTCTCTATTAAAGTCTATGTAGTGCTTTCAAAACACACGGTTTAACCTAAATGTCTCTTAGTCTCTCTTAATTCAACAATTATCAATGATATTGGAAATTGTAAAGAGATAAAAGTTCAAGATGGGAAGACCATTCAGAGTCATTCCCCACCATTAAATTGTTTATTCAGGTTAAAACAAATTAAATTGCAATACATATTTACATCTAAAAGGAGTGAAATGTAGGTTTCGGCATGGGGAGGATTTATAATTCAAGCTTCTTTCATGGGAGAAGAGTGTAATTTATATATTTCGTTTATTTTGGATGAATTGTAAAAAAGTGTTTATTAGATGATTTTCATGTCATCTCCTATGGCCCTTCTGTAGACAATCTGGATGCTTTTGACCTGTCTTCCCTTTTTTGACTGGGATCCTTTTTCTATTGTGTATTGGTGAGTATTAGTTCATTATGAAATTAAGAAAAGTTAATGTTTCACTTGCAGGGCCATTAAAGGAATGGGTGTCACTTGAATGTGAAGGAGACAAACCACCCAGAATACGCACTGCTCGCCCTCTGACTAGTTTGCAACCTGAAGGAACAAGAAAGAGGCGCAGAGCAGCTATGGGAGATTATGCTTGGTCTGTTGGGGATAGGGTTGATGCATGGATACAAGAAAGGTATCCTTTATAGCCATTAGTTGAATACACTAATACCTTATTATGTATATACAGAATAGTATCATCGCTTTGGAATTTTCTAACGTGATAGTTATGCTATCAGCTGGCGGGAAGGAGTAATCGCAGAGAAGAATAAGGAGGATGAAACAACTTTAACTGTCCACATTCCTGGTATGTAATCTCTTTTAGTTGATAAAACCTGTTTTTATTGCATCCCTGTTTTTTTAAACCCAAATATAGAAAATTAGCATACCCAAATATAGAAAATTAGCATATGTTTTTTTTAGCCAGTGGAGAAACATTGGTTCTTAGAGCTTGGCATCTCCGTCCGTCCCTTATTTGGAAGGATGGTCAATGGCTAGAATTTAACAAGGTGGGAGTAAATTCTGCGCATAAGGTATAACACTATTTCAACTTCTCATGACATCCCAACTGTGTGCTTGTCTGTGCTAAGTCTTATAAATACAGGGTGATACACCACATGAAAAGCGACCTAAGCTGGGTAGTAGCGATGCAGTAGATGTGAAAGGGAAAGAAAAGATGTCAAAAAATATTGAAGCTGCAGAGTCTGCAAACCCTGATGATTTAGAGTTGCTTAATTTGACTGAAAATGAGAAAGTCTTTAACATTGGCAAGAACACAAGGTCTGCCCTTCAAAAAGAAGGGTCAAAAGTCATTTTTGGAGTTCCTAAACCTGGAAAGAAAAGGAAATTTATGGAAGTGAGCAAACACTACAATGCACATGGGAGCCGCGTTAAAGATGCTAATTCTTCGATGCCTCAAGGTTCAGAACTTCGAGGATGGAGAAATAGTTCAAAAAATGATACTAAAGAGAAACTTGGAGCTGACTCCAAACCCAAGACTAAATTTGGAAAACCGCAGGGTGTTTTGGGTAGAGTGATTCCACCAAGGAATCCATCCGTATCCAGTACAAAAATGACCAAGGATTCTTCAAATCATATAAAAAATGCTTCACAGAGTGATAGTCAGGCTGAGAGAGCACCCTCCACAACTGAAGTAGCCACACAAGTACCAATCGTATTTTCATCTCTGCCAACTTCAACGGATACTCTTCGTACTAAGAGGACACTAACATCAAGAGCGAGTAAGGGAAAACTTGCACTTGCAGGTGATAAACTACGAAAAGGTGGTGGGGAAAAAACCTCAATCGACAAACCCCTAAAATCAACATCTGAATCTGATGTCCACGAGCCCCGGAGATCCAACCGCAGGATCCAGCCAACCTCCAGAGTATGTTCTGTTTCCTTTTACCTGATAATTTTGTTTCAATCTTTTTCCTAACTGTGAACTCATTTCTACCGACTTTGTAAAAGCACGATATATCCTCTGTTTTAATCTTATGATGTGTTTGACTTGTGGCAGCTATTAGAAGGATTGCAGAGTTCTTTGATAGCCTCAAAGATTCCTTCAGTTTCACATAACCGTAATATTCCCAAGGGTGAGCATCCATGAATACTTTTGTAGGTGGGTTGAGTTTAGTCTAATAATTTAGAATTCTATTAACTGATAGCCTGTAAATTGTAACAGGTAATAATCACCAGGGTTGAATGGAAGGAGTTTGCCATGCCGTACAGTTATTAGATGACCCAACATAGATTTGTATATTTATTTATAATTTATAATAGAGAAAACCTAGGAATGGAAATTCTTGTTTCCTTTGTTTTAGGCAGAGACTATAGGTCAATATTGATTTTAGTATTATTATTTAAATTTGGGTTGATCTTTTAGTCTTATGGCACTGTTGTCTGTGCTGTATATGAAAGTTGCCTTGTTTGTAGATGTTGATCAAATTATTGCCTATATTTATTGACTTCAAACAGCTCCAATTCTACTCCCTTTTCTTTGTGAACTTTGCTAGGGTCAGCATTAAATTGCATAGTTCACTTTTTTTAGTTCTCTTTAGATACGCCTGCACAGAGTAGTTTGTGTTAGAATCAAAATGACCGCCAAACAATTTTCATGAGTTTTAATGCAAGTGCTTTTTCATCTAAGATACTCGACAAATTTAATCAGTATTTTTAATTGAGAATATAATGATTATTTAAGTAATCTAATAATAAATTTATACATTTTTAAGTTCAATATATTAAGGTCTCAGTTTTCAAATGAACTTTTAGATTCAATACATGTGAAGTTCAGAAATGGTTTCAAATAGTTGAATAGGACTATGACTATGTTCGATTACCAAAGACCAAAATGATATCATTGATATTTCAAGGCGTGTTTTGTTTTTGTGAGTTATTCGACCTATTCGATTACCAAAGACCAAAATGATATCATTGCTCTTTCCTTGTGCTTATTTTTACCGTGTGGGATTGATTTACAGGTATCACCTTTGTAACTTTATGGGATACTACTAGATTGACAAGTTCTTATTTAGTGGTCTCTACTCCTACTAATAATAGTTTAACACATTCTTTGTTTTCACTATAGAGTCATGTGCTAATAATATAGTTTAGCACATGGAGATTTTACCTGCGTTAGTGTCGAATTAGCTGCTCTGTGGACTTCTGTTGCTCTTTATGGTTCTTAATCTATTCAATTGCGGCCTTATAATACAATTGCATTCTCTTGTATTCCTGATTTATCAGTTGGATCAGTTCTGCACATCTTCCCCTACTATGTGCTATTCATGGCACTGCAGTAGAAAAAACTTATTTGAAGATGGTGATGGCACAACCCAAGCAGAAAAAACTGAATTGGAAGAAATTTATAGTTACCGCTTTTGGTCCCAGATCTTTGGGTTTGTTTTTAAATATTGGTTACATTATGTTATTTGTACCCGTAACTGGTTTATGGATGGGTGGGAGAAAAGAATTTGGAACTGCCAAGTTAAATTACCAATCATTATCTCCATCAGCATTAGTCATTCATTCAATGTCTGTAAAATCAACTATAATGGTAAAATGTTCCGGTACAACTCTAATGTTGTGAAGAATGCAAAACACTTGTTATGATGTAATGGAGATTCGGTTCGCAGCTCTTCACTTCTCTAAAACTAAGTGTGGGTTTAACTATTAGGCTTATTAAACTAAAATAAAAAATCTAGAACTTTCACATTCTGCAGCTATAAACTTGAATGTAATTTACACAAAGCATATGTATTTATATTTATCTATTAACATTTGGCAACACATTGATGTCTCTAGGACCTAAACTAAGCCACTCATTTAACCTACGCTCCTGATGATTTACAATTACAATTGGAGTGTGAAAATGGAGGCATTGTTGCATTTGATTGATCAATATTCTGCTGACAAAAGTTGCTAACTTTGAATATTGATTCATCTTTTGCAGTCACGCAATCAGGTATCAATCTTTGTATCGGGTTCTTCATTCACATATTGTTTCTCACACACACAAGAGCTTGGAAATTCTTGATAGTCACGTCCAGGTCTCATCTCATCTGGCTCTCCTAAGAATCCTCTTTGGCATGCCTTAACCTTTTTGGAGAAGGTATGCCAATCCATCTGATGCCTTCCGGCAAAAAGTGTGCTAAGCTTCTTCGCATTCGGTCTAATTGTTCTTTTGTGACCCATGTATCTCCTATTATGGGCAAAAAAAAGTTTAACAGGTGACTGACTATTTAACAAAAAGTAAAAGATTGAGGAAAAAACTTTAGGCAGTAAAAGTAATTAATACTAAATATAACACACAAAAACACATTTGCATGACAACTTAGAAGACCCTACTTTTGCATCAAGTTTGGAATTTTTTGTTTATAAAAGGAGCCAATCCATATTCCATACACAAGCTTTTACATAAACCCCCTGTAACAAGTTATACTTTTTATACGAGAATTTTTTACAGAAACCCACTGTAACAAGTTATACGAAAAATAAAAGTTAACTTATAAATGAAGAATTTGAAAAGGAATGGTAAATAAGGAAATTTATTATATCCTGAATTATTGATTATTGGGAAACAAATTGACTTAAGATTAGTAAATTAATGCTTAAATTCTACAATTTGAATCTTAGCAAAGTAGTTGTATATTCTTACCTTCGACCTGCAAGAATCTTGGCCATGTTGCCATTGTTGTTAGTGACAAATACATCACTTTCATCACAAACAATGTAGTCTATAGCAGCAAGGCGGGATGAGAATGGAAGGAAAGGTTTCAGCTCTTCATCAGCAGCAAGCATTTCCTTTGTATAGATATTGGGGAAAAGATCTTTGAGAGGCTTCATAGTCTCGTCTCCTCCGTATATTTCTCCTGACGCAACATAAAGGTATGTGTCATTTGTAAAACCAAGTGCACGCAACATCAAACCCACTTCATGAGGAGTAAGAGGACATTTCCCTCGCTTACGTTCTCCATCTGCACTCAAATCCTGTTTTATCACGAGGCAACAATTCATTCATTTCATATCAACATAAAGATAAACCAGATTCAGATTTAACAAGTATTACATTGCAAAATATTTTGTACTCAGAAAGCATGTCACGCTCGCTATGTGTCAAGAAACAGTGTAAGTTTCAACACATTCAGAAAGCCAGCATTGTTAAGAAAGGATAAAATTCCACACTCTTGCTAGTCAAATGGTTAAGATTGTATCATTAGAGGTCAATGGACTGTAGTCTTACAGGTAATGTTGTCCACCTTTTTCTGATTTCACCAAGCTCATTTCTTTCTTTATCTCCCCCACCAAAATAACAACTTGAAAATGCGAGCATATCTGGTTCAAACCTGCAATAAATCAAATATTGAATGAGGTTGTTAGTGGTAACTACCATGGATCCTCTGCACATCCTAAACTCTTTCCATCTATTCCATTTCAAACTTTGGAATGAAATAAGTTGTTAATATATAATTTCATCGAGTAGCATGAGAAAGATGATTTGAGGTTCCCTTCTGATGCACACCACAAACCCAAAGTATAACTAAACAAACACTTCCAAAGTTTTGCATTTATTCACACTATTAAATGACTTTCAATTTCAAAACATTGTAAAGAAGTTGTGAAGAAAAGAAAAACATCAAACAAACCTCAAATGGACTGCTATGAAACGACGTGCCATCTTTTGCATTCTCATAACAATTGTTTGACCAAGTTCTTGTATAGGTTTTGTAAATCTCAAAGCATGAAAATTAACACGACATCTTAGTTTTTGCAGCTCGTCATCAAGGTGATTCGCAAGTCTAAAGTCAAACTTTGTCAATTGTACAACCTGCAACATCTCCTAAATGTTAGTTACTAAATCACCTTACCACAGCCAAATTCACAGAAACACTGCAAATTGACAAAAAACAATTACTTATGTTTCTTAAAAATCAATTAATGAATCAAAACGTCAAATAAAATACAAAAATAAAAATCAAGGAAGTGGCCACACCTGTCTTCTCAAAAGTATTGGCAAAACTTGATCAAGATAATAATCAGGCTCTGATTTCCTCGGGACGCGCATTGTATATGGGGGTTTTTCCATTGACCTCATCACCTTATCAGGAACTCTTTTGACAATAGTGACGTCTTTAGCGAGATAAGAAATGAACCAATCAACATCGAAAATATTGATAAAGTCACTGCATTCAAATTTCAAACAAAAGTGTGCTTATTAAATGAACCACTTGAACTTGATTCTTATAAGGACGTCATGATAGAATCTGCAGATTACCTGTCATCCTTCCAAAAAGAATGATGATCCAACTCAGGTACAACCAGCGTAGCATTGAGAATTCGTGCAACAACTACAGCATCTGTTATCTGAAATGAAGAATCAATCATAATTGTCATTTCCACGGAAAAAAAACTTATTCTGCTTGACTATGTAAGAGAACCTAAGGAAGAGCCCCATTTTCACAGAAAACAACTGAATCAACCAAACTAGATAAGAGAAAAGTGTATAAAACTCTCATCTTTTTCTGTTAACCTATAGGGGAGCAACTGAGATGGCAGATCCTAAACAAAATGCTCATTTCAGGACCTATCGTATTATGAAACTTGTGTCCTACTTACCCCAGTTCTTTGTTGATTCAATCCTCCACTAGCTGCAATAAGCAAGTAGCCATTTGACATCTGCTCACGCACAGCAGCTATATTATCGAGTTTTGAAAATAAGAAAGTTAGCAATGGAAAAGTTAGTATATTACTCAACTCATTCTTGAGAAGATTTTCAGTTCACAAACAAATCAAAATACAAAACGGAGGCTCTTAAATCTATTCACAAGTTTACTAACACAACACACCACAAATGAAAACAAGCCATATAGTATAAACCAGATTCTCAGCACATAAAAACAGTCTTTCAAGAACAATATTTGTTTCACTTGTACTCAAACCCTTTTTGAATAAGCAACTTAATTATCAGTTTATAGCATAAGTAAGTACTTATCATAATAAGCGTTTATGCATAAACTATTTCTATAACAAAAGATATAACAAAGTTATGTTGATTTTGTACAAGCTATAAGTTCTTTTCATAGGCCATCCTGGAGAACTTTTGAAATTAAGCTGAAAATAACTTATTAACATATCATAAGCTGTTTTCGTAAGTTTTCCCAATTAGATAAGCTCAAATAAGTTATAATTCAAACAGACCCTAAATACATAGATATTTAGAATCATAAGATTTAGCAATGTCACAAGTAATGTGGTAGAATTAGATATGAATCCTATGTTCACAATGTCATCCATTTCCTTAAATACATTTCAAAAACTAGGAAAAAAAACCACAATCACTCACTGTTAGCCGACGTAACAAACCAATGATGAAAATAGACAGAAATGCAATTCAAATTCACAAATAAAACAACACATTTAGAACTTAATTAAAGAAGAAACTCACGAGCATAACCGCGTCCTCTGTCACTACACCCATAGTAATATTGAGACAATTTAGATTTCCAAATATCAATAGGCGCACGGTAATGCCCATCCTAAAAAAGCAAAAAAAAAAAAACAATTAATCCCGACAATCATTTATGATTAGCATTAATTAAACAGAAAAGTAATAAAAGAGAAAGATGAATAATAAATAGTACCAATCTAGAGTAGAAATTGAAATTAGGATGAACCAATCGATGTGAGTACCATTCGAGATCAGAAAGCATGTGACCAGTAAAAAGCGAAATCAAGCCCAAAATGAAAAGCATGAAACCACAAACGAGAGACCAAGAGATCGTGATTGTTTTCCTTTGTTGTTGTGAACAAACATGTTTCTTTTTGTTGTTTGGTAACAGAGCTAGGTTCGTCGATAACATTCCTAAACTCCAAGCTTTTCCTACACTCACACCCATTTTTGAGCTTCGGAGTTAGGTTAGGGTGATTTGCAGAAACACAAAACCAAAACCAAAACCCTCATCCATGGTTTTTAGTAATGTAGGAACTGCAGTGTAAGTAAGTGATTAGTGAAGGATTAATTAATTACTAGTAATTAGTTTAACACTAATGTGGGAAGATGAATCCTAATTAGAAAGGACGTGGATTGTGGAGTGAACAAAGAAAGACTAGTACTATGTTGTTGTTCCGTTTGATTTGGTTTGGTTTGTTGTTGTTGAGATGGGAGTGAAGGGGTTATGGGGAAAGCCAACAACACAACAAACAATAGTCCTTTCCTATAAAGGCAAATATTTGTTATTTGTTTTTTTTCTTTGATAAAAAATAATTTTTCGCAAAAATGGATCTATAAAAATTTGTAAAAAAAAACGTAGTGATAATGTGGGGTGAGGCGAGAATAGTAAAGAGTATGAATGGAGTAACGTGCGATGTGAATGGGAAGAATATACTAGAAGTGGAAGTGGATGGATACATCACTTTATGGAAAATAGTAACGTGTGTCTTAATTAACACCATAAACTCGATTAAAGATATAGAGACAAGTAAGTATAAGCTCAAGTTTATTTATTCCGGCTAAAAATGGGAGAGAATAATTGCCTCAACGCCGGATATAGTGCCGACTTAGAAATACAATAATGCCAATTGTTTTGTAGGGTTTTTAAGAGTGAAAATGGATTATGAAAAACAAGTTTGCAGACAAATGTCACCCTCCAAGTGTGACAACCGTTTATAGGGAAAATAACTACCATGCGTAGCTGCCTTCGAGGGTAGCTTAATTAATTCCATTCTCGACAAATAATAATGCTTTTATTAAAAGTCTGATTATAGTTTTTTTTTTGGTTACAAGGTTATGAAAACGAAAGAAACAGAAATAAAGAACATTAAATTCTTTAAAAAGGTTACTTCGTTACAAGTGAGATATAGAGAATAAAAAAATAATAAAGTTTTTATTCGCAAGCGGTGGCTAATGACAAAATAAATAAGTTATATATAGACAGAATTGCTTTAAAAAATTACTCCATCCATCACATAAAAAGTTTTTCAATTGTATTTTTATTGTCTCAAAATAATTGTCCATTTATAATTTTAATATATTATTTTAGTATTATTTTTTCACTATCATATTTTTATTTATTAACTTTTATTTTATTTAACTACTGTATTTATTATAATTAATAAAAATATTTTAATAAATAATATTAATTTTTTTACTAAAACAAAATAATCTAATGATTTTCTTAAGAACCGCATATTTTTCAAATATGATATTTATTATGAGATGGAAGAAATAATATGCATTATTAGATGATACGGTGGTTATTAACAATATTTTTCAAAAATAAATATAAAATAAATGGAACTAAGAGTCGAATTCTTTTTTTTGGATATAAATCAAAGAGATTTAACACTGCTCCATTTTCAAAATAGAGATCAAACTTATAATCTCTGGTTAAGTTGAAAGAGATTCACTCTATCTCATCCAAATACTTTTGAGTAAGAGTTGAACTCTTGACTATATGTAAAAATAAGATTAATTTGATCTTATACAAAAATAAAATTAATTTTACCAATTATTCAAATGAAGTTGAGAGGTGCTATAACTCTCTTCTGCCCTCATATAAATCCGTCATTGTTTCCATGATTGGATGAACAAGTAGAGTGTTCTACTCGAAGTAATATATTTAATTCATTACGAGGAAGATTATGTTAGACAAAAAGATTGAACAATTTAAAAGAAAATGAGAAAGAAAAAAAAATGAAAATAGTACCCATGTGTATTCAAGTGAATAAAAGTTTAAGTTCCATAAAAAAATATTTTTCTCTCTCACTCAAATTTTAATTCAAACCTTAGACCTTATAATAATTAAGATAAATTAAAAAATATAATATATATTTTAAAAGAATTTGAATGACTCTCGATAATTTTTGAAATGTGTTATTGTAATTAAAAGACTTAATATCTCTTTTGGTCCTTTAATTTTGAGATTTGTTTTACTTTGGTCCCTAAAAAAAACATTATTGAAGGATCCTGTAAATTTTACTCTGTTACATATTATAGTTCTTTCTGTTAGTTTTTGTTGTTAAAACGTTAAAACTTGTCATGTTGGACTTTTAATAACTGAGGTGAATTATTTTATTATTTTCTAAATATTACAATATCAATTATCAAATAAAAGAATGTGAACGGACTATTAATGTTGTTAGGGTACAATTTGAGAGAAGAACAAGAACACTATTCAGAAGGCTCCATTGAAGACGATTCTCAAAGCTCCATTGAAGAAGATTAACAACGTTCCACTGAAGACGAAAACGCTACCGTTCACAACCCTCCATTAAAGACAAGCTGCATTCATCAATTGTTTGAAGACGAAACCCTAAGGTACGCATTTGCAACCGTAAGTTACTAAAAATGTTAACTTTCTTCTTTACCCATATTACTTAGTACTTATTCCACTGTTTGTTGGTTGATTAGGTCATGAAGAGTAATTTTCAGTGTAATGTTCATCATTCAGGTGCATTTTCTAGGGAGTTTGTCAATTTTACTAAGTCATGTTATGTATGGTTAGAGGAAATTTGGGACTGTGATCCTGATTATTGGAGTTACTTTGAAATATTAGACAAGTTAAAAGAGTTAGATTACCCTACTATTGATAAGCTTTGGTAGTATGATGAAATATCTGCTGATGGTATAGTTCTATTAGAAAATGACAAGGAGAATGAGAGGATGAAAACAATTGCAGCTCTAACTGGGGAATGCGATTTGTATGTTACACATCTTATATTTGTACTTGATGTTATTGTTGAGCCTATACTCTCACTACCAGATGCGACCATTGTATGTGATGAAGTTGTGGGGGGAAGGACCTGAACTGGATAATAGTGAAGATGTGGTTGGTGAAGGGCATGAAGTAGGAAATAATCAAAGTGGAACCACAATGGATAAAGATTTGGTTAGTGAAGAGCCTGAACTGGAAAATACTCAAGGTGGGATCACAATTAATGAAGATTTGGTGGAAGAGAGGATCAATTATAACATTGAGGAGAATGTTGGTCAGGAGGAGACAAACTGTAACAATGTGGGTCAGGAGGAGACCAACTCTGTCATTGAGGAGAATGTGGGTCAGGGGATGAATATTGAGGTAGAGGGAATTAATAAAGGATTGAACTATAACCAACAAGAAGATAAGGTAGTTAATTGTAACCAAGAAGAAGATGTGGCATAATATGGAAGTGAATACCGTGCTTTGAATGTCAATTTTGAAGACTCAGAAAATGATATAAGTATTGATAAAGAGATAGAAATTGATGATGATGAGCAAAAAAATCAATCATTAGATTGTGAGGTAACATAGTTAATTTGTTGTCATTTTACTCTATTAAATGTATATGTTAAACATTACCTAGGCTAACATTAAAATGTTTTTACATGCGTGCATGTGAATATGACTATGAGGTAAGGCATACCTCAATCAATAGAGAAAAATTTGTTGTCAACCTTTACAAGAAAGAATGCTCATGTAGAATATGGATGCTGACCAGGCTTCAATGCTGCCATGTAATATCTTGCATAGAGGATCAACCCTTGCAGATTGATGACTTTGTACCTGGCTGTTACAAGAAGGAACATTATTCAGCTTGCTATGCACCTGTTATTTATCCATTTAATGGGGAATTCTTGTAGGCAAAAACTGCTGCAGTTGATCTTCAACCACCACCAATAAAGAGGTAGCCTGGAAGGCCAAAGAAGAAAAGGAATAAGGAACCTGGAGAACTGGTGAGGGATGAGACATGCATGAAAAGGGAAAAACATGGAATCAAATGTAGTCGTTGCCACAAGGTTGGTTACTACAAGGCAACCTGTAAACTACCACAATCACAAGTTCCTATAACTCAGGAAGCAGAACCAATAACTGTTCCAACTCAGGTGCAAGAAGGAACAACTCAGTCACCACCACCAACTCAACCTTGATCTTTGTTATGATGTTTGTTCACTATTTTGTAATGTCATTTTGATGTGCCTGTTAATGACTTACTAATATGGCTTATATATGCCTTTTTGTAATGTTATTAGAATATCTTTTAATGGTCTATTGACAATGTCCTTTCACATTTTGGAATGTATCTGTAAGTGTTTGGTTGTTGGCATGTTTTTTGGTAAAACCAGGTGTGTGAATGTCATGACTGATGTCATAACATTCTGGGTTACTAGGTACATTCTGCAAAAAAAGGATGTCATACAGAAGCTACTTAAATTGAGTGTTTAGCTGATCATCATGCAATGATCATATTTATTACATTCTACCAAAATCAGTAAACAAGATTCTTGTTGTCATAACTAATGTTAAGACATCCTGTACTGATCTAACAGTTGTACAGTTTTGTTAATTCTGAGATTTTTCAGGAAACTGGTTTACACAGTCCAGTACAAAGTCTCATGTGGAGTTTAGGTTAACTGGGCTTAACCCTAATCTGGTTGATAAAGTCCTGTGACCAAGTCTTGAGGTTAATTAACCCTAGATATTTTCGTGGAAGCCCTAACTGAAGAACAGTGGCCTATATATTCAACAGGACGATTGTTGGTGAAGATAACTTTTGATAGAAGATCAATAAGGGGCTGTATAGTTTTAACTACTGTAATCCAAGCAATTATCATTGTGATAAGTGACTTGGAGTAGGATTTGATTGTAAGGGTTGTGTATCACTCAAAGCTTTGAAGCACGAGTGTTTGTGTCACTTGATTAAAGCTTTGAAGCAAAGTCAAGTTAGGTTTATGTATCACTCAAAGCTTTGAAGCACGAGTGTTTGTGTTACTTGATTAAAAGCCACTACAAGAAAATTAGTGTTTAACGACACAAAAATTGCGACAGTTATGTGATAACTGTCGTAATTGACATATAGAGACAGTGTTTACGACAGTTGACACCAACCGTCCCTAATATTTATTTTGCGACGGTATATT